GCTTGAGGCTCTGTCTCAAAAAAAAAAAAAAAAAAGATAATCACTTGAGCCCAAGAGTTTGAGGTTGTTGTGAGCTAGAACTCCAGGCTACTCTACCAAGGGCAGCAAAGTGAGACTCCATCTCAAAAAACAAACAAACAACAAAAAAAACTAAGGCTAGGAAGTGAGGGGCAGAAGGGGTCCTGGAGTGGGTCCCCCCCAAATCGTCCTTGTAGCTATCCCATCCCTCTTTAAAGTAATCCTGGCACAGGAGCCTCAGGTGTGAGTCAGTGTAGCTGTTCCTACTGGGTTGGCACCTTCACAGGGTTAGTTGAGTGTCTCACAGGCCAGCCTGGCTTCAGCCCATCCCTTGAGGCTTGGGAGAACCCCTACATCCTCCCAGGAAGGGGTTAAAACAGAACAAGATGCACTCTGGCTCCAATATTCCACTCCCTGATAGATTTCCCTGGAGTACTCCCTAAATGAAGCCCAGGGAGGAAGAAAGCTGGGGGGCAGGGGAGCAGAAAAGGCAGTTTGCTTTTCCTGGAGATTAACCTCCACGGGCAGCCAAGATTACATTGTGTCTCACAAGCCTGGGTCAGTGAAACTGCCTTTAAATGAAGACTATGGTGCTGCCCCCACCCCCCTGTTACTGAGTGCTTCCTATGTACCAGGCAAAGGGTGGGGTGTGCTAGTCCTCACAGCCTTTCTACAAAATAGGAGTATAAACACATTTCACACACGAGGAAACTAGACTAATGGAACATGAACTTGTCCAGTGTCTCACTGCTAACATATCTCAGTTTTCTGCCCCCAAACTATAAGCATGTGGTGTTCCAAGGCAGAGAATCCAGGGTTTCTGGGACTTAGGACCCTGAGCTCCTCTATCCAAAAAGGTAAACACTTGAAACTAAAGCCCCAAGAAACCAGCCTGTGGTTCAGCCATCCTAGTCAGGCCATCTTTCAAGGATAGGATCTGAGTCCTCTGGGATGGAAGGGGCTGCATTCCCAGCCATCAACCTCTGGCCCGAGTTCAGATGCTCCAGCAGACTTGCCCATTATACCTGGATGCCCGTCTGCCTCCTTGGGTTAGGCCGCTGGTGGACTGTGTGTCTGTGAGGGGTGCTTGACACGCCCCTCCTCATGGGGCCCTGCTGAGCAAGCAGGAGTGTCAAGGGGCTCTGGAGGGCTCCTCACACCTTTCAGCCAAATCACACAACATCTGCAGTGCTGGCAGGCACGTGGGCAGGGAGTTATTACCAAAGGAGGAAACCCAGGCAGCTAATCAGCTTTGGAGGTTTCTAGGGACATCAGCCCGTGAAGTGAGAAAAGGGGATCCAGCCACACGGTTGCTTGGCATCCGAGCATTCCCCATGGGGCCATAGCCTTGTGGGGGAGAAAGGGGCCATGTCAGACTGCCAGTGCTTAGGAGCAAACCCCCTAGCTGTCTCTAGGACCCCGAAGGATTAAGCAGGTTGACCCCACCCACAGCTCAGTTTCTTATACTGTACTGTTAGAGTTTAAGGAAACCAAACATCTTGAAGGTATTACCATTTATAGAAAAGCACATTTACAATCAGCTCTCTCTATAAGCCCCTGGGGATTTATCTCCCAGGATTCTAGGCTGGTGCTGCAAAGGCCTCAGCAGGGGCCATCTATCTCTCAGTGTTGACACAGGCTGTGGTGGGTGTAGGAAGCATCTCCCTGTGGAGTCTCATCCCTCCCTCTGCAAATCTTCCTGGGGTCCCTATCCCTGGTCCAGCTTCTCTTCCTCACACTCAGCCATCTGCTCAGAGGCTGCACCATGCTTCCCTGACACTGCTGACACTGCCGAGAGGGCCAGGAGATGAGTGTGGTTGAGCCAGAAGTGATTCGGTCTCAAAGTCCAGGGCTGCCTCCCAGCGAGCTCCATATGGGGGCCTGGATCAGCCTTCCTTAGAACAAAGGGGCATCTTAAACCAGCACGAAGACTCTTGCCTCCAACTGACTCATTACTCACCAGCCGTTCAGAGCAACTGTGCAAATGCCCTCAGAGCCAGGAAGAAACTTGTCAACAATCAGACAAGAAAGAGGCACCGTGCCATAGGAGTTAAGTAAAAGGGTGCGAGATTCGGGCTGCCTAGACTACAGTGTTGACTCTCCTGCTTGTGCCAATGTCACGCGTCCCCCTAAGGCTCAGTTTTCTCATCTGTAAAAGGGAGATGATTATGATCTATCTCCCAATCTCCCAGGGTCTCTGTGGTGACTAATGAGACAAAATTCAGGTAAAAACACTTGAGCCGGGTGTCCAGCATGCAGCCTCATTAAGGGGACACCTCCTTCCAGAAGCACAGAGATATGGGATGGGGATTTTCCACTTGCCAAAACTTCTGCCCTTTCTCAAGAGCAGTGCTTCTCAACCCTGATCCTCCCCCCCACCCTCCCTTGCTCCCAGCTTGCCACCTCCCAATATACATGGAGAATTTTGATTTATGCAACACATTCTCAGAGCACATAGATTAAACAACAACAGAATTTTTTCAGGACAGGCAGTTAAAGCACAGGCATCATTGTCATCACCACAACAACTGGGGGTTCAACAGCACAAGCAAAGCACAAATCTGAAACACTTTGCCTGGCCTTTTCTCTCCTATTCAAAAAATCACATTAGTATGAAGGTGAAGAAGAGGACTGTCATCACTGACATAATCCTGAAATTATCCTACCGTATTGGTTAAAGCAAACTGTTGACAAGCTTCAGACCTTCATTACTGAGGTCTTACTTTACTCAAAAGGTTTGAATTAATTCAAGCACATAATTAAAAATTGCACGTAGCCCAAGTTACCCTTCGAAAATCTCTTCAATTGCTCATAAAGTATGGTAATTGTTTATCTTTAAACACAAGAATCATACTCAATGGACTGCAGTGCTCACAGTATAACAGGGATATGGAAACTTACACATGCAGACCCCAACCAAAATGGGATAAAGCTTTGTCCCCCACTCCCCTGTGAGTAATTAGCTACATTCTTGTTAGTTCACATTCCAATCAGTTAAGTGGGCATATGATATAATTCCATCACCACAAATCACTGTACTGGACAGATCTCTCAATTGACCAGTGCTGAGAAATTAGTCCTCCAGAAGGCTAAATAGATGGGATTGCTCACCTTACCCTTAATCCCTAGGCTGACCCTGGATCACCAGGGAAAACAAGTGAGGGATGTCCACTTACTTGCAGCTTGGATGCGAGCTTTCCGGCTGACTACCAGCCCAAAGTGGTTCTGAGCCACACACTCATAGTCACCCTCATCCGAAGAGCTGCCTCCCTGCTCCAGCCTGAAGTGAAGGATCATCAAGGACCCATTGGCCAACAGGGTAGAGTTGGTACTCTCTGGCAGCTCCACCCCGTTCTTCCTCCAGGTGATTCGTACTGGAGGCGTCCCCTCCACCCCGCAGTCCAGCACTACAGGCTGCCCAGGGACTACGACATCATCGCTTGGCTCCACAGTGAATGCCAGTTCAGCAGAGTGTCCGAGACCTGCATCAGGGAAGGGGAGATGGGAGGAAATGGAGATGTTAGTGGGCAATAAGCATCCTGGAAGAACTCCACACACAAAGATTCCAAGTTCCCTGGGTCTATACTCCCCATCCCCATGTTTCTGGAATGCTAATAGGAATCCCTATTATACATAGAACTTTTTTTGTTTTTGTTGTTGTTTTTGAGACAGAGCCTCAAGCTGTTACCCTGGGTAGAGTGCCATGGCATCACAGTTCATAGCAACCTCCAACTCCTGGGCTCAAGCGAGTCTCCTGCCTCAGCCTCCCAAATAGCTGGGACTACAGGCGCCCACCACAATGCCCAGCTATTTTTTGGTTGTAGTTGTTGTTGTTGGCAGGCTCAGGCTGGATTTGAACCTGCCAACTCCGGTGTATGTGCCTGGCACCTTAGCCACCCGAGCTACTGGCGCCGAGCCTATACATAGAATTTTATGCATTACAAAGTGCCATCCCATGTGGTATTTTACTCAATCATCAGACCATCTCAGAAAGATGAATATTATTTGTCCCATTCCCTCTTTCACAAATAAAGAAGTTAGAGCCCAGAAATGTTGAGTGACTTGCCCAGGATTTCACAGTTAATAGTTGCAAATCCAGGACCCAAAAGCAAGACTGACTCTAACACAGCTGCTGCTGGCTAAGCACTGAGGTTTCCCAGACTTTCAGGGCAGGACCTCAGGTAAAGGATTCAACGTGTCCTGGATTCCCATTCCTCATCTGTTTAAATCAAGGAACAACACTGTGGCTTGTGTTACAGGATTGTACCATCTGATCAACAGACTCAAAGGCCCTATGAAAAGTTAAAAGTTCTAAAAAAAAAAAAAAACAAAACAGAGTGAGATAGTAACAAATCATGTTTCTTTTCACTAGCGAAGCCATCTAAGATCTGGTCTGATGCCTGGTAGGGGGCAGTGTGTGGTCTCAGTTCCCAGGGTATAGACAGAGGCTGTGGCCCCACTGCCCCTCTCCAAGGATGCTCTGGGTGTTGGCCTTTTGCCTTTGTCACACAGAGAGATGAGGAGTAGCAAGCACCAACTAAGGTTTTCCAAGAAGAGGGGGTTCCTACACTCTCTCCTCCCAGCCAACCTTACCACAGCTGCGGAAGAAATGAGCTAGAAAAGGAGATGGGAAGAGGCTGATCAGGGAATCAGGAGACACGAGCACTCCAGTCCTAGGCACGATGCCAAGAAGCAACTTCTCCAGCAAGCAACTTACCAGACCAGTTACAACTTCACTCCAGGAGGAATGAATCCACCTAGTCTGAAAGGGCAGCCACAGACCCCTCTTCACATTACCAGGAAACTTGTAAATCCTGGAGATGGTCCCTTCTCAGCAGACCAGAGCTCTCCCTGGCTGGGGAGCTGGGGGAGTGGGTAGGAGAAAGGAGGAGGGGCGTTGGGGTTACGCCCCCACCATGAGTAATGTTTTAAGACATTTGAGGATCACACTCCTTCAAATCCCCAAGTCCTGAGTTTCAGCTGCCTTAGCCCACAATCCCAATTCCAGTATAGCCAGGGGGAGGATAAAGTTTTTCGTAGATGCGAACGCACTATTCTACTTCCTCGGAAGGGAGGGGAGAGAGAATAGCCTCTCAGATGAAGGTCTGCTGAGAACTTGAGGTGGAAGGGGAAGGAACTAGATTTTCACCCGTCTCCCATGAGATGAGCCCATTACAGCCACTGAGGGTACAGGGTGGTGGCGATACAGCCCTGTGGGCTAGGGCCAGTGTCGCTCCACGTGTCCACACTGCGGAAAAGGCAGGAGCGCCTGGGCACCCCCACGGCTCCCTAGCTTTCGCTCTCCGCGGCTTTTCCTCCCCTTCTTGGACCCCAGGCTTTCTTCCACGTCGCCCTCTCGCCACGTGCCGTCCGTTGGGAATCTTCCTCCTGTTCATCCTCGGTCTCTTCCGCGCACCTTCTGCCCAGTCCCAGCTCCAAATCCGGGACATACCCTCTCCGCCCGGCGCAGCCCGCTGGGTCCCAGCCTCCGCCCCTATTCTGCTGTCTCCCGCCTCCGCCGCCTTCGGCTACTCAATGTCCAGTACCCAGCATCAGGCATTCTAGCTGGCCCACCTGGGACGGAGCTCCGCTGTGCGATCTTCCCTGGCTCGTTTCTCTCTGTCCCCAATGCAGCCCGCCCCCTAAGCTCTTGTTTGGCTGCACTCTTACCCTCTGGTACCGGCTCTGGGTCTGCCCGGAGCCCTGAAACCGCAACGGAGCGAGTCCGGACCTCCCCCCGGAGTGCTCCATTCTCAGCACCCGTCTCGGGCCCCCAGTAGCCCGGCCTTGATGTCCTCTCCCCGTCCGGCTCTGCTCCGTCCGCCTGTCTCTCCCGCGCGGGGTCCGCCCGCAGGTCCGCGCGGCTCTCTCCCGGTCCGCCCCCTCGCGCCCGCTCATTCCCCTCTAGCCCTTCCCGGGGTTCGGTCCGCCGCCGCCCAGGCCGCGGACGCCCTCTCTCACCCCAGCTCTGCTCGGACAGCAGCAGCGGCAGCAGCAGCGGTAGCAGGAGCCGGGGCCAGTGCGGCGCAGGCAGGCGGCGCTGGGACGCGGCGCGCGGCGCAGCCATGGGGCTCTCGGTCCGCTCGGCTCGGCTACTCGCGGCTCCCGGGCCTCTGGCGGCTCACAACGTCCCACGGGGCCGGCGTCGGGGCCGGGGCCGGGGCTCCGGCCGGGGCCGAGCCCGGGCTGCTGGGGGCTGAGGCCGCATGCCTCCTAGGAGCGCGGGACGCGCTGGGGGAGCGCCGCTTGCGCCATCTTGCACCCACCGGAGCGATCTGTCAGCCTTGCCGGGTAGCACGCTCAGCACTCGCTCGGCCCGCGCCCGCCCCGCCCTCCTCCCCTGCCCGCCACCCCCTCCCCTCCCTGTCCCCTCCCCCAGCCCCCTCTCCCCGGAGGCCCAGTCTGGGGAACAAAAGAGCCGGGGAGCGCTTTAAGCGGCCGGACATTCCCGGCTGCGCGGCGGACGCGCCCTCTGTGCTTTGAACTGTGGCTGGAGCGTCCGGCGCTGTCCAGGGCTGCAGCCGGGTATCCCCTCCCTGCCGGCCAGCCTGGAAAGTGTGGGACTGGGGAAGTGGAGACCCAGAGAACTGGGGAGTGGGTCCGGGCTGCGGAGAAACGCGCGAAGCTGAGGGATTTGCTTTAATTTTCTGCTGTGCCCCCCTCCGAGTCTATAATTTGAGATAATTCCTTAAAAACTGCCCAAAGTTGTCAAAGATTAAGCTTTCCGCGGGGTTTTGGTCCTTCCACGGAAACGATAGATCCCTTAGCTGCAAGACTGGCCTCTCTAGACTGAAGCGTTCTGATACTTAGGTAGATTGCCCGGGGAGAGCAGACCCAGCGGGACAAGAGAACGCTAAAGTATCCCGCCCGGGTTCTGCCTGCCATCTAGCCTAGCCAACCCCGGCAGCCACTCTCATCGAGCTCATATAAAAGATGAAGATAATCATATCTCTCCCGTTCACCCCCAGGGACCAGGTCCAGGCAAATGACCTGGTAACTGGAAAAAGCACACCGAAAGTTAAAATTCTGGGTAACATTTCTATGCTACACAAGGAAGACCTTCGATGTTACATTTCAGAGAACATGTAAGGAGACAACATAGGTCCCACAGTGAGAATGTTATGTAGGGTAGGCTTGTCTCTTAGCAAATGTACCCATGCCCGCCCTTAGAGATCTTGACTCTTGGCCTCTCACTATTAAGCAGTCTTCTGTTGAGCCCAGCATGATGGGTTAGTCCATCAAAATTATCAAGCAGCTACTAAATTCTAGGAGCTAAATTCTAGGATCTAGGGGCGGCAGTCTGCCTCACTCTATTACTTGCTCTTCTTGCACTGGACTGCTATGGCAGAGGGATAACTCTTTTGATACCAACTCTGCAACCTTGGAACCAGGAATTAACATCAGTTGAATAGGAAACTAATTTTTGGTGCAGATAAGTAAAGAACTGCGGGGGCTAGATGAGGTGGCTCAAGCTGTAATCCCAGCATTTTGGGAGGCAGAGGCAGGAGGCTCATTTGAGTGAAGGAGTTTGAGACTATCCTGGGCAACATAGTGAGAACCAAATCTCTACAAAAACTTAAAAAGTTAGCTGGGCGTGGTGGCACTCCTTCCACCAAAGACAAAGTGAGGACCTCCAGAAGTCAGACTGCCTGTAGGTGGACAAGTTTACTAATAATGAGGTTTGTACAGCCCAGGGACTCCTCACTCTTCCGTAGCAACTGGAATATGAGCCTGAGAAGCAGGACTTGACACATGTGAACAGTAGGAGGCAAGGGAGAAATTCAAGGTCAATATGCCAAAGTCTGGATTGGCTTTCACTGTGAGGAAGGGTGGGAGTAATGGGCTTCTACTGGCCATAAGAAAGGAGGGAAGGAGGGGCCCTCCCCAGGCTTAAAGTCCTGAAACTCCCTCCTGCAGAGCTTGAATTCTCAACAACCCCTTCTTGGCTTGTCCTGGACTCTGGAAAGGTCAAATTGGTGTCTCGAATTGCTGTCATTTTAAATTCATTTTGACAAGTGTTTAATTCTTCTTTATCACAACCTTTGGTCTGAGAGTGATATGCAAATAATGGCTATTCTGCTGAGTGCAAAATATGCAGTATCTCTCTGTCTGATCTGTCAATTAACCTGAGTCTGGCCCACCAGTCACTTTGGGGGTGGTCCTGAGCAAGGCAGTCGCTGGCTGTTGGTTCCCTCCAACAGAAAGGCACATTCTAGACTCTGTAAAGATCCTATCAGAGAGTAACTACTAATGATGATGCTGATATATGTGGGGCATGAGTGTGTAATCTTGTGTATTAAACTGTGTGCACATTTGAATTAATGGACACAAGAGTGTTTTGTGAAGGTGGGTATACACTCATGGTTCTTTGAACTTGTAGACACAGTGCTTGTATGTGTGTGAATGTGCAGCCATGAATAATTCCGGTGATCAGCGTTATACAGAATAGTTGTAGAGCACAAATCTCTGAATTTGTTCCCTCTTCCCTTTACCCAAGAAGGGTAAAGTGTACCCAAGAAGAAAAGTGTACACCCAGATGGATAGAGAGTCTAAGCAAGTACCATCAAAGAATGCATCTTAAGTCAGGTACAGTGGCTCACGCCCATAATCTTAACACTCTGGGAGGTCCAGACAGGTGGATTGCTTGAGCTCAGGGTTTGAATACCAGCCTAAGAAAAAGCAAGACCCCCATCTCTTAAAAAAAAAATAATAAAAGGCTCAGTGCCTGTAGCTCAGCAGCTAGGGCACCAGCCACATACACTGGAGTTGGCAGGTTCAAATCCAGCCCGGGTCTGCCAAATGACAATGACAACTACAACCCCAAAATAGCCGAGTGTTGTGGTGGGTGCCTGTAGTCCCAGCTACTTGGGAGGCTGAGGCAAGAGAATTGTTTAAGCCCAAAGTTTGAGGTTGCTGTGAGCTGTGACGCCACGGCATTCTACCCAGGGTGACAGCTTGAGTCTCTGTCTCGAAAAAAAAATAATAATAATAAAAAGAAGGTGTCTGTCCTAAGTTTAAGTGATGTCTTTTTCTAAGCACCTATTGAGGGAGGAAGATGGCTTAGTTCTTTCTCATGATCACCTGCTCTCTAACCTCAAAAACTACCATTTCCCGTCCTGGTAGGAAACGAACTTCCTAGGGCAGAAAGGCTGAGGAAATTCTAGTCATTGGCTCCAAAGAGAATTCCACACTTCTGGAAAATAGTTTATTAATTCATTATAGGGACAGATACATGATCAATGCCTTAGCTTAACACTAAAGAATATCATATTTATAAGGAAAAAATGCTGGAAAAATTAAATAGTACAGCATAAGCTAAATACAGACAAATAAGTGAGCAAGTATTGATTACACTTGTCATGCATCAAGAAAAGGAAGATTTTTTAAAGAGACTCAAAAAACTTAAGGCATCAATGGTAGGTGACAAAAGGATTAATACCCTGTAAAAGGCCAATAGACTCTTTTCTAATAAAAATACTGCTACAAAGACACAAACCTAACACTTCCAAATTACCCAGAGCCCAAATCATATATAATGCTAGTGAGTAATGGCCACTTTCTTATCAACTGTGAGTTATAGGCAGATACCAGATTTATTACTTATTTGCTTTTGAGAAACAATTTTCCACCCAACCTAATGGGTTATAAATTGTCTCATTTGCAGCTATTTAATTTAAACCAGAACCTCAGTGCCTGTTAAACAAGAACATGAAAAATGACTATGTGGTGTAATGCTAAGAGTCTACTGTTAAAACAGCCATTTAATACAGGGCAGCTTTTTCTTAAAAAAAAAAAAAAAAAAAATCAAACCAGCAAAATAAAATGAGGCCTTTGACCTTCAGAGCAATGATGAAACATACACAGTGGTGTGAGCCACAGCAACACTGAATGCTACAGAAATAGTACAGTGACAATTCTGTCTTTAACGAGATACAAAACCAACATTAATAATCTTTAGTGTTATCACAGGCTGGCTGAAGGAGGGGGAGGAGGTGGAAATGTAGGTGCGGATGTCAAACATGAGTGACACCCGAGTGTAATAAACACAGATGCTTTCAGGGTTTGAGGGAGCTGCAACTCAGCTGAGAGACATTTCACCATTTAAATGACAAAAATAAAAGGAACGATGGACTGGTTATTTCTAATCTGGCCCAGAAGCCAGAATTAACTCTGGATGTGCCGATGAGTTAAAAAGATGCAATTAGGGAGTAAAGACCCCTGCATTCTGTGCGCTATGAGAGGGCTAAGGTGAAAAATCAAATAAAGGACATTGCTTTCACTACACAGGAAAGAGAATCCAACCTGGAAAGTCAACAGAAAATGACTTCAGGATCCCATTTAAAAAAAAACAAAATGAGATAAACCAACCGCCCTTTTTATGTGCAAAGATCCCCGTCTTCTAGCAGCCCAGAAAATGGAATGCTTCACAACCCCATCCCAGATCAAGCTCAAGGCTCACAGGGTGGGGAAGCAGCTCCCCTAACTCCCACCTCCTTTCTCTCCCTTTACTTTCTGCTGGGAAGAAAGGTGTGCAATCATCTCCACCCAGCAAACCTGCCTCTCTACATAGAAGAGAGGGGCTCATTCTACTCTGAGACTCTGGGTCACAATCCCCTTCTTCATCTCAAAAATTACCCTGTGTGACTTGGATTCATCACCTCCAGAGAGAACACTCCTACCCTGATCCCAAGGAAACAGATACAGGGAAGCCAGAAGGTCTTCTCTAAACCTGCACTGGGGGTGGGCAGTCTGCCTGGGGAGGAGGCAAGTGGGGGCACTGAGAGAAAGGGGACAGCCAAAGCGAACAGTTGTGGACACATGAGTGCCACAGTGGCCTTGAAGCATGCATGAGGTAGTCACGTTGCTAGGGAAGGGTTGCAGAGATTGAACCCAGGCAGGAGAACCAGATGACAAAGTCTGGGAGAGGCACAGGAGATAGCAGTGAAGGGGAACCAGGAGAGAGGACAGAAAAGAATATCAGGGAGGAAGGAGGGTCCTGGAGCAAGCGACAACAAGTTGGCTGGGAGACAGGCCACCAGAGCAGTGGAGGGGAAGGACAGAAGGGAGACTGAACCTCCTAAATGACAAAATGAAAATGCAGAGTTGCTCTGAGGAGAGCCAGGCTCACTCTCAATTTGGACAATGGGGAGAAGGGAGGTGATGCAGCTAAAATGCTAGGCATCTTGAGCCTACTTGCACTCGACCCAGTCCAACAGGAACATGGGCTGGGGCTAATCTGGCAGACAGGCATTGGAGACACTCTCAGAGTGTGTAATAAAAGTGGGTGATAGAGGTGGGGGCCCACAGGGCTAGGGA